CATTCTCCACCCTACAAGAGGATTCACATAAAAGATTATGGCAAAGAACACTGTGTCTTCAGGACGCGAATTTCTTCTTGCACTTTCACATATGTCATTCGACTTATTTGTCTATTATCTGCTTCCCCCATGTCCTTGTGCTTCCTGTACTTCCAGGCTGCCCACTGCAGCTTCCCAGTGTTGCTGGTCACCAGCCAGTACCATAGCAACTGGCTAAATCAATCACTTCAGCAGTTTAATCACACCCTTCCTCTGTTTTTCCCCTTTATATCAAGGAAATGGCCTGCAATTCTCATAGATGACACATTCAGAAATGAAAACCTAATCACTGCTCAGTCGAGCTGTATCAGGACAGCGCTGGACCTTCCAACTCAGCAGCCAGGCATCACAGGGCACTGCAGCAATAGCCTAGGGCAGCAAACCCACTCCTGTTTATCTGGTAATCCAAGGTCCTATCTCAGCTCTCCTTTGACTTCAAGCCCTGCAAGCTGCTCACTGGAAGCTTTGTCTGACATCAGAGCAGGCAAAAATATTTTACCACCCTTTTGACTCCAGAGACACACATCAGGCTGGAACTATAAAAGGCTTTAGGCACTGGATCCTAGGAATGGATGTCAGTCTAAAATCCCTACACAGTGTTAAGCACTTAGAAATTTAGTTTCATAATACTCAACACTCAGTGGCAAAAAGCAAAGAGTGAAAAGAAGGGTGAGAATATTTCTGCCACCCTACAAGAGATGCCAATGCAGAACAAAGATTCCTTCCACAAAGTCTACAAATAGGCTTGGCTACCTGTTATCCCTTTATACTTGCATATCTTTACTTTTTAAAACATGGGTCAAGGAGGAGCTGCTTCCATTCATCTTTAAGCTCCCTGTGCGCCATCAAGGCAAAGGGCATTCAGAAGAGCACCTGGTACTTCAGAAGACATACCTTAGCTACCACCTTATGCACTGGGTTGGGTAAAGTGGAAGAACAAAGACAATATTTAACCCTTTTGAAACTGGGCACACTTGAAGGCAGGAGTGTAAGATTCAAAGGATCAGAAAGAGAATATATCATCAGCAAATCTGCCACAATAACCTTCAAAGAACTGAGTGTTACGGGCTCCAGTCCTGGCTCCCAGGACTTTGGGGGTGTTTGCTCATAGTGATTGGAGATGATAATGGAAACAAACATCTAAAACATTATAGATTTTTTTTATAGATCACACTCACGGAGTTAAGTGTCTACAGTAAAATTTAAGTCTCATGTGTCAGAGCCTCAGTCAATAATAGGCCTTGTATTTATCACTATATTACACATGAAGCATGCATTAATGGGTGTTTATGTGCTCTCTACAGGCTTGAACAAGCATCCCAGCCAACGTTGCTAGGATCAGTGATTTTTCACTCCAGTATCCTGTTTGAAATAATTATTTCAGGGTGATCCAAGACTGAAGCTTTTTTTCCTGGCTTTCTAATAAATGCAAAGAACTAGATTTCTAAGGGACTTAGATAATGCTCAAAAAGTTGAGGTACTGTTAATGACATTCTCCTGGGATGCAGGACACTTTGGTTTAACTCCTGCTGCTGCCTGACAGCTGAACTGGGGCAATCAAACACTGCTGACTTGAACAAAACAAACAAACAAAAGCAAGCTAAAATACAACCCCATTCCTGGAGTTTAAATCCTTCTATGTAGCTTGTCCTGAACCGCTTTGTCTTTTGAGATCCACTTACTGCTTCTACTAATAGTGAGATTTCTTTTTTATAGTACCAGAACTGCTTGAAGCTATATTCTTGTTTCTAATTAAAAAAAAGCTTTAAATATAGCAGATTATTTTCTCCACCCAGTCTGACATGAGCTATAATCTGATTTTTTTTCCTCCCTTTCATGAACACCATCTGTTTGTGACCATTAAAATCCATTTTCTATGCTGAAGGGATGGGAATTCAGAGGGATGTGTTCAGCCACTGTCCAAATAGTACTGTCATTCCTAAGGGATCCATTACAGTCTGACACACCCAAGTATTTATGAGCCATAAACCGCCTGCCTAAAATGGCGATTCATCACCCCATGCATGGGAGACACTGACAATGACAGAGCATGTTGTAGCTGCAAAGGGAGGGGGGTGTATAGGTTTTATGAAGATTTTTTTTTTTTTGAACCAGCAATGTTATATAGCATCAGGGTTTTTCCCACTATGGCACCTCGTTTCCAAGCCATTTGCTCTGACAGTTCTCACAGCCAACGTTAAATTAACAGATGTCTTGGAACTGGACTCCGAATGAGACAGCTACAAGGTCACCGCTTCTTTGCATCATTGTCTGATCTGGACTCAGCACTCACTTGGTGTCAAAGCAGAACACCCTGCTGCTTTTCTTGGTGCAATGCTCCCTTCAGGGCTGGCTGAGGGTGCAGCTCCCACACCTGTGTGACTGAACACCCTTCTCATTGCATCCAGGTGCAATCAGAGCAAACAGTCACATGAATGAGATTCCTACAGACTTTTTTGTCCATTCTCTCTGAGACAAATTGTATCCCCTCCATTACACAAGTAATGCTGTTAGAAAACTGACTAGAGAATCAGCACTGTCTCTGAAGAAGTCAGACAAGGCAAGAAATTTTTTTTTTTTTCATCTGAGATTTAATACAAAAGACAGATAAATTCAAGACTTTTCCTCCATATGGCAGGTGGAGCATATCACATAGTTCTCACACCCACACGAGCAACTGCATAAGGGAACAAAGGAAATACAAATGCTGGTAAGAAAATGTAAGTGCAAGGACTGTCTTGTATGAAAACTGGCTCTGAACAGCCAGTTCAGTTGTGAACAGACTACTGTAAAATTTAGATAGAATTTATATACCGACACCCAAAAAAAATCACAACTACTGTAGAAGCCATTTTATTTTTATACTCGTCAGCCTAATATTCTAGCACTGTGCATGCCCAGATAAGCAACTGTCTTGGCTAAGCTGTGCTTCTCAGCGCCTACCACCCTTTGGAGATTTACAAACGAGGTTCCTGCTGCTTATGTTCCCCAGGGGACCCAGGCTGACAGGCATGCTCAGCAAACACCAGCACACACTGACAGCGTTTTGTTAAGCAGAAGGCACCATAGACACAATTCTGTTGCATTAAAAAGAAAATAAAAGACTGGGAAAATTAAGGACAAGCTGGAACAGATCTTAATTGTGGTCTCAGATTTAATAACTGCTGTGCATTGAGTAAGGCATCAAATGACAGACACACATAGACACTAGGGACTGAAACTCCACTCCCCATCCCTTGCGAAGTATTTTCACCAGTGGATTGCAGAGCCTGAACTACAAAGCCTGTTCCCACACATTTCTCCTCTCAACTGCTTTTTTCCACAGCAGGACAGCCTCAGCAGTGTGCCCATCCTCCCAGAGGCAGCCTGGGCATTCCGACTCAGGTCCCAGCTCTCCCATTTTCCAAGTAGGTTCTCCCAGGCAAGTAGGGAGATACTGTATAAAACCACCATTACCTGTGGTTACTTTGAGAATAAATGCATGATTTTATCATCTGCAACCAGTGGGATGATTTTAAGCCCCTGCTGAGTCCGGTTTTGGTCCGAACATCCTGCAAGGTCTGTGAGCTGGAGATCGGTGCCTATACTGCATAGTGTCTATTAGATAACTTTCCGGTATCTTCCCACTTAGTGCAGGGATCTGGTTGTCATCTCCAATCACCTCCCCTGTTACCTGTACGTGCAATTTAGGTGTCCAATTCATATTGAGAAATCCCAGGCCCCAAAACAGAGGCCTAAGAGGATCACCATTCTTCAGACTGGTAGTGGATCTGAGCCCTCAGTCCCCTACAGATATACACCTTAAAAGACAAGTAACAGGATGATCTTCATTAGAAAAGAGATTAAATGGGAGCATCCTAAATGCCAAGAAAAAGGAGACAAAGAAAGACAAAGCGCACAAGGCTCCTTCAGCAGACTAGAGGAAAAGAAATGTTTGCTGGCCTGCTGCAGTCCATTTATATCTTTCAGTAAGTACCATTTTGCCATACTCACAATAAACATAAATCAGAGAGCAGCTTAAGCATTTTACATACATAAAATTCTTGAAAAAGTTCTTAGATATTTTCTCCCTATTTTTGAGTCATACGTCATGGACTGAGTAATAATTGTAGACCTCTGCAGTAGATTAGTAGTTTTTTGATTTGTATCATATGAGATCAAAAAGCTGCACACAAGCGAGCCTCAGTAAAGAAGGGTAATGCATTCTTTGGTTGCTCCCCAATGCTGCAAGCTCTCTTATTTTCTCTGCTGCATTAGGCAAATTTAAGAGGAAATAAGACCACCTTACAGAGTTTGGTCTAGCTCTAAAATTCCTCCATTTCAGATATTTAAGCGGTTTGGAGGATTAACCCAGCTATTAATGAGGCTGCTGAGATTAGGTAATGGGAAAAGTATTACAGTGTGTGCTAATCTTAACATATGCTATTCAAGGACAAAGTGTAAGTAAATATATTGATAAAAGAGGCAGCAGTTTAAAAAAAAAAATCTGCCACCTCACAAAACATGAACTATTTGCTGTCAGGGTCTTTGGCCAAGGACGTAAACAAAAGTCTGACGGAATTCGCATTAAAATTGTGCCTTTTCTTGGCACGCTTAGTACCGAGACACGCTGAAATTCTCATACGCGGAGAAAGAAAGCGGCTTGCAAAGCTTGTGGCTTGTTGGTTTTTGGCTGGCTGACAATGAGGCTGAGCGGGCGGGCGGCGGCAGGCAAGGATGGCTGCCGAGCGCTCCTCGCCGTGGCGGCTGCTGAGGTGCCGGTTCCAGGACGGAGCGAACCGCTGGATGCTGTCGCTCGGTGGAGTGAAGCGCAACCCTCGGGGGGGTACCCCGAGTGGGCGCACCCTCCTCGGCGACAACAGCCAGAACCCTGAGGGGTGTCTGCTGGATTCTACGTATTACCGATAAATAAAAGGGAAGCCATTCACTGCAGAAGAATGGCTTACTGTTCTTTTCATTGCATGGAGGCGATTTTCCTTCGGTGGCAAGCTCTGCTTACCCACCCTGCGCGGACACGTCCGCCTGCATACGCGCGGGCACTCACAGCCATCCATGTACTCCTCTGCGGGGTGTTTACGGATGCCGATCTAGTGGGGCAGCGCTCCTCCCGGAACGGCTCCGGAGGGGGTGCAGCTGCCGCTGGGGTAGGAGGCGCCCGGGCCCCCTCCCCCTGTACCCCGCAGGCACCAGCTCCTTTCTCTCCCTCCAAGTCCCTGACGCCGAAACGCCGGAGCTACGGAGCAGGTCGCATCCTTGCTCGTACCGACGCCGCCTGCCCGCAGGCGAACGCCCGGCCCGGCCCACCCCGTCCCGTCCACCAGCCCGCGCTCCTCCCGCCCCGCAGCCCCGGACTCTCGCCGCCTGCTCCGCGCTCAAGGGCGGCTTCCCTTTGTCAGACTCCCGGGCACACCCTGCCCACCCCTCCTCCACCCGCCTCGGGGAAAGAACGCACCCGGGAGGGGTTAATCCC